AATAATACTATTAGAGAAATCACCACAAAGAAAATACTAAAGGATACTCTCTAGGCAGAAGGAAAGTGACCGCAGATGGAAGCACAGACGTAACAGGGAGAAATGCAACGCAAGATAAACGTGGGTCAAATGAAATAAATAGTGGCTCTATGAAACAAAGATTTAATTGGATTTAAAGTATACATATAATAAAAATACACAATAAGGAGCATGTGAACCAGGAGAAATGAAATAATGTTTCTAAGATTTTTGTAACATTTGGGAAAAGGATAAAAATACTGAGAAACGTTAAACTTTGCTAAGTCAAGGATGCATGCTTTAATTTTTGAATCCATTGGGGTCCACTTGTTGGTCTCTGAGACCTGAAAGTTGACAACTTCTTCAAGTCTGAGAGGCTGCTCCCAGCCACTCTGCAGCCGTCACCATGCCACAAAACGAATATTGAATTACATCATAAACGCTATGAATACCATTTGGATTGCCATGAAAAAAAGAGAAAGAAGGAAAGTCAGGAGTCTTGTAAACATTCAAAGAAGGCAAAAAGATGACTGGTCTGAAGGCTAAGCTCTATCATAAACAGCGCCATGCTGAGAAAATACAAATGAAAAAGACCATCAAGATGCATGAAAAGAGGAACACCAAACAGAAGGATGCAGAAAAGACTCCACGAGGAGCAGCACCTGCCTATCTGTTGGACAGAAAAGGACAGTCCCGAGCTAAAGTACTTTCCAATATGATTAAACAAAAACGGAAAGAGAAAGTGGGAAAATGGGAAGCCCCTCTACCCAAAGTTCGAGCCCAGAAAGAAACAGAAACATTAAATATTAAAAAAGAGAAAGCCTTCTTTCTCTGTTTCCTGTTTGAAGAGGATGGTTACAAAAGTCTGCTTTGTTGGAAATGGCTTTACTAGAAAACCACCTAAATATGAAAGATTCATTAGGCCCACGTAACACATCCTGAACTGAAAGCCACTTTTTGCCTGCCAATACTTGGTTAAAGAAGAATCTTTTATCCCCACTATATAAAACTTCGGGTGTTATCACCAAATGTAGTATCATTGAGGTGAACATAAGCAAGTTGGGCCTTGTGACACAGGAGGTAAGGCTATTTGGGGGAAATATGTCCAAGTTACCAACAATCCTGGAAAAGATGGATGCATAAATGCTGTCTTACTGGTCTGATAGCAGTTGCATACAAGTAACTCCTTGTAATTTTTGAAGATGATACACCAATCTGGAAAACCATCATGACTGATGTTTCTGAGTGTAGCCGATCCTACATGTCTGCGGTCATCAAAAGATTATTAAATTGTACAAAAACACTAAAGTGACCTGGTTTTACAAAATAAATAAGTAAATAAATAAATCCACTGAAGAGTAGTATGAGGGTACAAGTACTAACTAATGGGGGATAAAAGTGGAAAAAAATCTAAAAGATGACAAGAAAGGAATACGAATCAACTGATATAAATAGAAAGCAAATAATAAAAGGGTAGAGTTAGAACCTAAACAAGTCAGTAATAAATCAAATAAACTAAATGTTCCAATCAGAAACAAAGGCTAAGGCAGTAGATTTAAAAAAAAAAAAACAACCCATGCTGTGTCTTGTTTTACTTTTCTACATTTGTTTTTCTTAGAGAGACAGAGACAGAGACAGACACGCTGGACAAGGTCTTCACGCCACAATCTTCCAGCCAGCCCTGCAGCCAGCCGAGCTCATGGATACACCCAGGAGCATATTAGCACTTTCTGGTAGACCCAGGATGACCCCGAGCCTTCCTCTATGGCATCCAGCACCACACGGCAGCGCTCCTACTGCCTGCACCACCATGGCTAGGCTCATGCTACGCTATTCATAAGAAATCTGAATGGTGAAAATACCCAATGTTTAAAATTAAAAGATTGGGGAAGATAACTTTAGCTTACCTAGAAACAAACTGCTATATCAAGTTTACTCCCTCATATGGGAGTTTTTGCTACTCTAAGTCTTTGACATGAGTGTACTGTCAGTTTTTTTTTTTTTAAGAGGTTTTCACCTTAGGGTGTGCGTGCTCTCTGGAGAGAGAGTTGGAGACTATAGAGGGAAAGTGAGACATCATCTCCCACTACACCACAATCCCTTCTCCATTCTCCTCCTGAGAGGACATGTACCTGGAGTAATTTTTCAAGCCACCGGGTCCAGGACTTGAACTGCAGTCGACTACGTGGGAGTCCAGATGCAACCGTTACACCATCTGCTGGCTCCAACTGTCAGATTTTTTAAAAAATATTTCCAGTTTGATGATTATATCATATTGTGGTTTGAACTTGCATTTCCTTATTTATTAATGTAGTTAATCACATGATTGGTTTTTCTTTTGGCCATTCAGATTTGCTCTTTTGCCCATTTAAGTTTTCTGCAACTTGTCTTATTTTCATTGATATGTACAACAGTCAGGAAACATCCTGGGCTTGTCTCCAAGCTGGTGTCATAGATAAAATTTCTCTAAGCTGTGCACCGTTCCGCCAGCTCAGTTACTTCTGGAGCATGGGGTGTATGAGAAAACCCGTGAATCCCATGGACTGGACACACTGCCTTATTTCTTTAGTATATAGTGAATTCCTTAGTTAGAAACAACGTTGTAAAGGATCCCAGGAAAGTAAAGAAGACTTTCTGTAAATACATAGTGGTGACTCTGGCAAAGACACATGGGGGAAGGAAGACAAAAAACAAAACAAAATAAAAACCAATGATAAACCAGGAGATTAAATATCACAAGTAAAGAAGAAATGCCCCTAACATATAAAGAACTAAAGATCAAGAAAAAAAAAAAAAAGACCAAAGAACAACTTGATAGAAAAATGGACAAAACTCATATAAAGATCATTCACAGATAATCACGAAGTTTTAAAATATTTGGACTCTCAATTTCACTAGTCAGAATATAAATTAAAACTACATTGAGATACCATTTCTCACCTATCAGCTTAGCAAAAAATTCAGAAACTGGACAGCTGACTCTGTTGGCAAGGAATTGTTATAAAGGGCCTTTTGATGTAAATTTGACAATACCTGATAAAATAACATATGCATATATACTCTTTGACTCAGTAACTCTACTTGTAAGAAATTATCCTAAATGCACATGTCCAGCAATGTGAAAAAGCATTTTCCCTATTTTAATCATTATGGCATTATTTATAATAGCAAAATATATTATGTAATTAATAAACATTATATATTGTATTGTCATTTATATGTCAATATAAATCAACAATAATGGGGAAAACTTAAAATTGAATAAAAGTAGAAATAAATATATCACATTGGATATCAAATTAAATAATCATGCAGAAAAGAATAATTCAAGTAAATCTAATTGGATATCAAATAATCATGCAGAAAAGAATAATTCAAGTAACTTTTGCACATAGAATTCTGATTATAGAATATTTTTGTCTAAGAAAAAAAAAAAACACTGGAAAGATATCTGAAATTTTATTTAGTAGGTTTCCTGTTGGTAGTAGTTGTTGTGTAATGATTTCAAAACTGTTTTATATCATTTTGCTCTAGCAGCAGGTTCACGTGTGGATCAGGGAGTGTAAGATTCAGCGTGAGGACCAGCAGTTGGCGTAATGGCTATGTCGTTGGGCTCCCATATAGCCTACTGAAGTTTGAGTCCCAAACCTGGTGGCTTAAACTTACACCAGGCGTGTGTGCATGCGTGCCCAAGAGCCCAGGAGGAGAATAGAGGAGAAGGGATTGCGGCATGGCCATCCCCCATGGGGGGTGATTTCTCACTTTCTGTCTGTCTCTCTTCCTGGTGAGCGCATGTGCCCTACAGCAAAATAACCTCTCAAAAAAAAAAAAGATTCAGTAGTGTGAATGCCTCACTGAAGATGACTTTGAGTGGCATTGGGGAGTCATTCAAAGTGTCAGAGCAGAGGGGTTACAGAAGGAAATAACGAAACAGGTATCCTTGGGAGATCACCCGGCAGTCACAATGGAGAAAGGAGGGAGGACTGACATGGCAGATCAGCGAGGTCTTCCAGTGGCTAAGGACTGAGATGAAGGAGGCCTGCAAGGGGCTTGGGGATGGATAAGAAGTGCAAATAGCTGGCATAAAAGCAGCACTTCAGAGGGTGAAAAAACAGAATTCATTTCTTCGATCAAGGAGAAGGGAGAGTCAACGACTGAGTTTCCATTAAGAACAGAATTATGAGTGACGGTGCTGAGAGGCAGGGAATTAATTTTTGAATATGTTTTGAATTGGTTTTGAATATTTTGACAGTGAGCCGGTAGCTTTTTTATGCTTACAAAGCTCAAAATATTAGAGTGTCCCCATTTGGGAGTGATGTTGCTGGTCTTTCCCTTCAACCAGTCTGATCTTTTGCAGACCTCATGGAAAAGGAGGGCCAGTGTCTTCCTGAAGCTTCTGCCAATTGTTCATGAAGATTTCACAATGCTCCACAGACGATGCTCAGAATCTTCTTGTAAAATTCCGGTGCATTACTCTGAGTGAGCCTAACACTGATTCCTACTGGGCCAGGGAAGAATTTTCAAGACACAACTCTGAGGTGGGCATAATCCCACATATGGAATTTCTCTTCCACCCCTGCAGTGAAGGCTGACGGAGGACCTCTGTTTGTGGCTATGTGACCTCATCAGGGCCTGGCTGCCCTCCCTGACTTCTCAGCACTCCTGCCTGGCTAGAGGAAGCATGTCCTGAGCAGCCTTCGTGAACGGGTTTCCCAGGCAGCTTCCTCCCCCGTACTCTTGGCATTCATGTGGCATGGCTATAAATTATGCCCAGCATGTTCATTTTCAGTTTAAATGTGTTCTCATCCCAGAGGAGCAACTAATGGCGTCAAGTTACTGATGTGAAAAAAAGCCTGCCGCTACAATGACTATGGATTAATGAAATAGCAGTCGTGGGGGCTGGGGCGGCAATAAATCGTCAGCCACTGGTGACATGGATTTTGAATTATGTCCTCTGTCCCTTTGCCCCTTCTGCTAAATTATTTTGCTGTAAAGTTGTTTAGTAAATATTTACTTTTGCTTAAATGTTTGCTTTCTATTAAAAGTTGATGCAGCAGGGCCCCTGCCTCTTAGAGAACTGGAAGCTGACTGCAAGGGATTAAAAAGCCTATCATGGTTTCTCTAGGAGGTGTGAAGGCAAATCTCTTAATCCAGGATCATCACGGACTGATAAATTTCATTCAGAAAACTGGCAAACACAGGGTTCTATCAGTGAACTCTGCTCACCTGGCAAGTAAGTTACTCTCCCTACCTTCTGTTACAGCTTTTTATATTTTTTTCTTAATAAGTTTAAAGTGAAGAACCAATACAGTTCCCACAGTGTTTTTTTGAAAGGTAGTACTTCTATTTATTATCTGATGAAGGATTCCAAGGAGTACATTGATGAGCCATAGGGAGTCTAAGAATACTTGATCCTAAAAAGCAAATTACTCGTAACGTATATGTTTTCCTAGGAAGGTAGTCTATAGATTTCTTCAGCTTTACAAGATCTTCCAAAAAAGTTGAAAAACTACTATGGTGAATCACACAGATGGCCGCCCTTTCTTTCCCTCCATGTACTCATGCTCTTGCAATGGAACTGCATAGCTCCTCCTATCCATCCCGATTCTGATCTGACCTCAAGATTAACTTTGGCCCATGAGATATTAGCAGGTTTCAAAAGCACTTATCCACCAGAGTTTGCCCAATTACTGTTCCTAGAACTCTGAGTCCATGTGGACAAGGCGGGGCCAATCTGATGAGCCACATGGCACAGACACCCCATTTTCCCAGCTGACCTGCAAGCAACTCTAGACAAGTGAGCCCAGTCAAGACCACTCACTTTTATGACCAACAGATAGCGTAATGGTTACATCACTGGACTCCCACCTAGCAAACCATGTTCAAGTCCCAGACCTGGTAGCTTAAAACTCATGCCAGGTACGTGCGTGTGTGTGTGTGTGTGTGTGTGTGTGTGTGTGCCCAAAATCCCAAGAAGAGAATGGAGGAGAAGGGATTGTGGCATGGCCATTCCCCCCTGGGAGTGATTTCTTGCTTTGTGTCTCTCTGGCAAGTGCATGTGCCCTATAGCAAAAATCTCTCTCTCTCTCTCAAAAAACAAACAAACAAACAAAAAACCAAAAAGCAAAAAACAAAAAAAAACAACTAAACAAGACCGGCCATACTTGGGCCAAATCAGGAAAGTCCAGCTCAATTGCTGACCTACATGAGTATGAACTACACAAATGTTACTTCAAGTCACTAAATTCTGGGGTAATTTGTCAGTAAAAGCTGGCACAAGTTTTATACGATTAACAGCATATGTTTTAAAAATGAGGGTATGTCTTATTCAGTCTTGATACTCCTTTTCCTAAATACATTTAACTATTCAACATACATTTGTTGGAATGGGTAGAATTGGTCTCTCAAAAAAGACTTAAAGCACTTTTTTCAAGGTCACTTAGTAAATCAGAGCACCTAACTCCAGACCTCAATTTCCTCACTTACAAAATGGGCTTCAAAATACCTGCTCCTGCTGTTCTATTGTGGTTATCAGAGCTCCTGTAGCTTTAGAGAGGTGCTCTATACCTGAGGGGTGGTAGCTCAAATTTATGAAAGGCTCTGGGGCTCATGCACGTGCAGGATGTCGGACGTGTGTGGATGATCAGAGTGGTCACCACCTACTCAGCACACAGACTCTGGTTTCCAGTCATCAGTTTTCTTTGCTGCAAAGTTAGGTTGGTTTCTTCAGGCTCAGACATCGGGGTGTCACTGAGGATGCCTGTTCCTGCAGTGCAGCGTCATGGCTGGAGGACTTGCTGCTCCCTTCCTGAGGGACGGGCAGGGTCTTGAACAGGGCTGAGGAATGAGGGATGCTGCTCTGGATTTGGTCGTTACTCCCTGTATCCTGTTTCCTTATTCGTAAAGGAGGTCTGGATGATGACGCTCTCTCTAGGGATCCTTTCAGCTGTAGGAACCAGAGTCTGACCTATGCAGGAAGGACCATGCTGCTAAAAGGATCACTGGAATTTACAATTTTTGGAAGAGAAAAAGAAAATGTTTTCTGTATTTGTCTAAAGCAGAAAGCAGAATTGGGGAATAATGAAGAGGAAAAAACAAAGCAAGTCTGATTTGATTTAGGATGTTGGACTCCTACTTCAGGACAATGGTTCTTCATGCTGTGCCGGATTTGGGAAATTACAGAAAAAAAATTCAAGGAGAAAAAGGACATCCACAAAAAAACTATAAAATGCTCATGAAATTTACACAAAGAGCCATGAGACATCCAGGGGGGAAAATATATATATGAACTTTCTCTCCTTTTCTAACAACACTTAAAATGACTCTTTTCTAGAATTTAGGAGTAAACTATATTGTAGATATATTGTAAGTAAATATTAGATATATCATTTATGACAAAGAATGACATGTTGAAATTCTGCTTTTTACCAATATGGGTATTAAATTTTTGCTTAGAAGAAAATATGAAAATAATGATTTTTATCCAATTATCTCTACATACATCCAAAGAGAAAGAATAATTTATTCATCATGCTTTTAATAAGATTTTCTATATTGAATGTTAAGATCTTAACCAATAAAATCACCAATGAGTAGGCAATGAAAACAATTACCAGATGGTATTTTCAACCAAATTTTTTGTATTTATTATAATCATGCTTCTCTACAACTAGTGACTCTTGTGATTTGCAAACCATATGTCTGCCTTTACCTACAAAAAAAAAAACATTGCCATTTCCAACAAGGGAGGTTCATTAGCAAACAGAGTATAGCGTGCGTGACCTCAGTGAGGCATTCAACACAGGTAATGGGCCATCTTTCCCTCTGACTGGATTCCCTTATGATGCTCTTATGTTGGCGTCACATTCTTCTAAGAGTAGAATCAAATCTTCAATCAGGCTGTGTTCTCTGCCATGTGTCACTCTCATAATATCAAACGCCTAAGGGGAAAAGACAGAAGCCAGATTAGCCCCCCAATAGGTGGGCCCCTGCCCCCCCTCCACATCTTTTCCCCATGATGCCAGGGGCTGGTGAGTCTGGGTCGGCAGAGGGCATCTCTAACAGCATGAGCTAATGTGGTTTTCTGAGCCAGAATGTGAAGTCACATTTTTGAATGTGGTATTTGGAGAGCAGACTCATCCGGATCCTTCTGAGGCCCAGTGACCAACAATAATCTTCAGAGATTGGTAGTGCACAAGACCGGTAGGTAGTTACAGAAGTTTAAGAAGAGGTACTAAAATGATTTAGTCATATGAGAGATGAACTATCATCTGCCATCATGAAATATCATTAATTCTACCTTTAAGATATTTCTGAAATCTGGGTGGGTGTCTGGCTACTTCAGTGGCACAGGACAGTGGAAGTAAATTGACTTCCAAAGTGAATCAAAAGACCAAGCAGACTCTGCTTCGTTTACTAGAATGTGTGCTCCTGGAACCAAGAGCCTCCATGCTGTGAGGAAGTGCAAGCCTCCTGGAGAGCCTGGCTGGTGGTCTTAGCCAAGCCCATCTTTCAAGTCAGCCTAGCCAAGGCATCAGAAATGTACATGAAGAAGCCTCCAGATAATTTCAGCATCCAGCCAGAGGAAAGCCACGTGTCTTCCCAAATTAAACCCCAGTCATTGTGGAAAAGAGGAAAACCGTTCATATTGTGCTTTGTTCTAATGCTGACTCTCAGAATCTGTGAGCATAATTTTATCATCGTCTCCCTCTAAGTTTTCAGATGGTTTGTTATGGAGTACTAAATAACCAGAACATTCTCAAAAATATTTTTGTAGTAAAGAGAGAGAAACAGTATCATCCTGCATTGTCCAAATGGGAGGACACCGGAGCCATTGAATTTGATGTGAATGTGCCCAGGAAACCTGCAAAGACATGACTCTGGTGACACCCAGTCCATAGCAAAAGAAAAAAAAAAAAAGGCTCTCAGCCTTGGTTGCAAAGTAGTATCAATTGGGGACCTTCAAAGGAGACACTACCAGACCTCTCACAAGATCAGCTGAAATCTACTCTCTGGGAGGAGGCCTAGACTCCAGGAGAGTCTAATGCATTCTCAGGGTTGAGAACAATTACAAACTTTCAGCAAATAATATCAATTATTCAGTGTTAATGTATAGCCAGCATATTTACCACCTTAGTGGTTCTGTATAACTAACTGTATCATGTTTATAGACCATTATTTTCTAAACTATTATGTCATCAAGAACGGCATGACATATTTTTCTATGACTTTCCTGACAACCCAATACTTTTGGAAATTTACATCATGTTCAATCTTTTATTATATGATGCAGATTGTCCAACCTGACTTTTATTTATTTATTTTTTTTGCTTTTTCTGAATATTTTATTATGATAAATTTCTAGGGGTGAAGTTACTGGATACGAACATCTACAACACTGGCCCCCAGAGACTGTGGAGCGGGAAAGCACCTCACTGATCACACGGTGAGATTCCTTCATTCTCCCGCTACTACACATAGTGAGACTCTTTCATTCCTACAGAGGAGGAAAACTGAAGCCTGGGAGAACAAAGTGTTCAGATGGATACAGGCTTTCAGCTTCTTTTTTGTTTCTTTCCAAATGTCCCCTTTAGGATGGAAGAAAGGAAAATAGGCAGAGAGCATCTATATTTAGTTGCAGAGAGAAAGAGAAAAGAGACAGGGAGGATAAGCCCACTGTCTCAGATCCTGGTCTCTCAGTCTGTGGAATCCAGCAGTAACCCTGCACCTGCAGCCAGGCCCTCACCCAGGACTCCCTAGCCGCAGAGCCCAGAAAGGCAGCCAAGACTGAGATGCTTGGCAGTGGGAGCCATTTCTTATTAACCTGATTGGTCTCCTCTGTGAGGACACTGTATCCACAAGCAAATCCCAACATGGGAGTTGTCCGGGAGTGGAGGGGAGGAGTTGGGACACCCCCGCCCCCAACTTTCATGCAGCCAAGCTCTGCAAGAGTCCTCTGGGCAGAAAATTAAAAATCAATGTTTGATACCCTTCAGGAGCACATGCCTCATGTTTTATTCTCTTTTCCCTGCACTGCCCCTGGGTCTTCTGCCATTCTGGACATCTGAGGTCTGAGGTAGAGAGATCTGTGTGACAGCATGACTGCAGAGAAGGGGGGTTTCTCAGATCAGAGAGCTTCTTCATGGGAAATTCTCTTACTTGAAAGGCATCTTAGATGTTCTCTTCATTTCTACTCAACAGAGAGCCAGATGTGCTTGTGATCTGGCAAAAGAAGATGAATGGAATAGATGCACTGCCCGAGATACTCTTTGCAGAAATGGACATAACCCTCCACTCTGAAAAGGCCAGGTCTAACCTGTGTAGGCTCACCACCTCTCTGCCCTCACAGACACCCTCTGTTGGGTGAGGGCCTGCCCTAGTTTCTCAGAACTCCTAGACTTACTTTGTTTTTTTCCCTTCTGGTTAGGTTCTTCAACTTCTTGCCTGGAGAATGATCTGTGCTTCTTTGTGATTTGGCTCAAAGGCTATATAACAAAGACATCTTCTTATCACTCTTAAAATGTAAGGCTGTTCTCATATTTTCAAACATGTCACAGGCTCTGATCCTCCTTCCTCACTGCCTTTCTCCCAGTTCCAGTGGTACGCTGCACTTTCTCCCCCTTTGCAGCTTGAAGAAGTTCTACTCTTCAAGGGCCAAAGTTAATCACCGCTGACCCAGTGTCTTACTGTTCACTGAATGGGCAGACCTGACCGTCCTATGGCAAGACAAGTGCCCACATATCAGCAGGCAGCTTCCAGGGCCACAGCCATTCTGGGTTGCAGAGTTACAACTAGGGAAGAGAAGCTGCCTGGCTTTCCCCAGGTCCCACAGGCATAGCTCCTAGGCTTCTGGGTAGGGCCCTAAGGGTCATCCAGTCCAACACCTCATGTTGTGGAAGGAACTGCTTCCCTAGGTAGCTTGGCCTAAGACATAGATCAAAGGTGACAGCCCAGTTCTCAGGATTCAGCCCAGTTCCATTCCATGACCATCCCATGTGACCTCTACCTGCCAACTGTCTGTCATAGCCAAGGGGAGGAACCATAGGGTCTCCTGGATATGGTTTCTGATACACCCTGAGGGGCCGCAAGGGTCCTCCTGGTCCAGATGTTGCTAGCCTTCTTCTGCATTCTCTTACTTGGTGATAAAAGTAGCACCCAAAGCAAAGGTGGGGCAGGAGGCAATCCTGGACATAAGTGAAGGCTTTGAGATACTCAGCTTAGAAGATCTTGTCACTGGGCACAAGTTAGCTAGAAGCAGACAGGAAATGGTTTGGGGGAAGCAAAGGACTAATTAGAAGAAACTAAAAATAAATCTACATCATTTGTGTAGAAAGTACATCTAAATATAAACAGATTAATGAACAAGTAGGTATTGTAATTTCCTCTAAGGGATGGGGAGATGTGGACAATACAAGGAGAGTATGAAGAAAAAAGGAGTCAGTTACATGCAAGACACGTTGGTACCTCTTATGTGTGGGCATGTGCATGTATGGATGATGTGACACACTGGGTGGACAGGAACCTCTGGTCCTTATCCAGGATGTCACCTGGGCCTGCGGAGGAGCTGAGGCAAACACCTCCCAGAGATGTCAGAAGAGAGCACTGTGTGTCCCTAGAGAGCCCCTTGGCTCAGCAGTAAGATGAGGAGGGCTTCCCCTCACCCGCTCAAAAAAATAAAGCTGTAAGAAACCTGACAGACCGACCACTTCTTTCCTGTAGCTCTCTATCTCCCCTTTCAGTCCCTCCCAACTGCCACACATGCACATGTTAGAGAGGACAATTTCAGTTTAATTTCCTGCAGCAGCATATAAAACAGATTAAGGAAATGTAAAATCGGAGCATGCTTGTGTTGGGAAAAGCTTATCTCTTTCCATTAAATTTTATTTTTTTAATGGTAGCATTTAAAAAGAGCCTGCACGTAATCTTTCACAGAGGACTCATTTGAAGCCTCCAAGGGGGGTGCCGTCCCCATATATAGCCTCTAAATGTCACGCGAGAAATGGCAACATAGATTGTCTGCCCCATCGCAGACACACGGTTCACTCAGGAATAAGAAAAGGGTCCCCAGAACGCATTTTGATCTCATATCTTTTTTATTTATTATTTTTAATTTTAGAATTGTGGTCATATATTAAATAAAATGAATTAAATAAAATTATGATTTAAAGTTGGAAATAATATCGCTTTCATGTTAATTTTTTATACAAAGACATTAAGCTTATCAAGGATCTCATATACTTTCTACCGTAAGCCTAAGGAATCCAATAAATGACTTCCCCAAGCATGAATTAAGTACGGATATAAAATCAGAGGGAAAAGAAATGCATGCATGATAAGAACCTCTGGAATCAGATCATAGCAGAAAAAAATGGAAGCAAGTTTCCTTGTTTTGCCATCACAGGATGAAAGCAGAGTGGGGATGGGGGAGGTGGTCTGTGGCATGCGAAGTAGGACATGTAAGAAGCAAGAGCTACAACACATTAAGCAGCTCCAGAACCACCAAAAGACCTTTACAAGGGGCAGCGGGAAACCCCAAAGCTTTGATGACTCATCTGGGCTCAGCAGTGCCCCTGCTGACCCCACTGTGCTCTGCACCGTGAATCATGCACTAAGTGTAGATTCTGCAGGAGAGGTCTGTCCTCCATAGAGAACACACCTATCTGCTTGTTCGTTCAAGGTTTCGTCTGAAGGGCTGTAGTAAGACTTGGCCCTTGCCCTGGAAAGAGCGCTGGCACAGTCAGGGAGACAGAATCTAACTAGTAGATGATTACAGTGGAACTGTGTCAAACAGAGATGCAAAGTGCTGAGGTATCCAGAGGAAGGAGGGGCAGAGAAATCTCAGAGTGAGGGTTATTACATATGTGGTGTGATGTGTCATCCAGTGGTAGAAATCATGCCAGAAAAAGAGTCGCTGTTGTTTGTCATCATGTTTTATCAGTCAATCCAATGAATATATATTGAGCACCTGCGAAACCCTGAAGAAGTCCTGACCCTTCTCTGAGCCTCAGTTTCTTTACTTGAATAATAATAAGACTCAAAAAGATAGATTCTAGGGAACCAGCAGTTAGCGTAATGGCTATGTCGCTGGACTCCCACATAGTCGACCGCGGTTCACGTCCTGGACCCGGTGGCTTAAAACTCACGCTGGGCGTGTGTGCGTGCGTGTCCAAGATCCCGAAAGGAGAATGGAGGAGAAGGGATGGTGGATGGTGGCATGACCATCCCCCTGGGGGGTGATTTCTCGCATTCTGTTTCTATGTCTCTCCCTGTCTGGTGAGCGCACACACCCTATAGTGAAAACCTCTCCAAAAGAAAAAAAAGATAGATTCTAAAGAAAATTTTACTAGAGATGGAGTGAGATATTATATAATAAAAAAGGGATCACTCTACTAAAAAATCTATCCAGGTCCCGATGTGATGTCCAATGTGCCACACTGACAACACTAGGAGGTGTGAATTTGGTTTTGCTTCCAAATATTGTGGTTGATTTTGAGTTTACTTCCATTATACCCACACAATAGCTTTGTATGACTTGAATCCTTTCCATTTATTGAGACTTGCTTTATGGCCCAGGATATGATCTATCTTGGTATATATTCTGTGGGTACTTCAAAAGAAGGTGTATTCTGAGGTTGTAGAGTAACACGTTTCATACACATTAATTAGATCATATTGCTTGATGGCATTACTGAATTATTCTATATCCGTGCTGAACTTCTGTCTAACTGTCCCCCTGTATCTATCAGCTGTAGATATGGGGGTCTTGATATCCCCAGTGACACTTGGGGACTTTCCTATTTCTTCTTTCAGTATTTACCTCCCACATTTGTAACTATATTGTTTAGTGTACACATATCTAGGACTACTATGTCTTCTTGGTAGATTGACCTCTTTTCTTTTTCATTAAATAATTTCCCTCTCTGTTTTTAGTATGATTATGTTTACCCTGAAATTGACTTTAGCTGATATTATTAGAGTAACTCCATCTTTCTTTTGATAAATTGTTTTCATTATATCTTTTTCCTTCCTTTTACTTTCAATCTGCCTATACCATTATATTTAATGAAAGTTTCTTTTTTTTTTTTCCTTTTTTTCTTTTTAAGGTTTTTGCCATAGAGCATGTGCACTCACTGGAGAGAGAGAGAGAGAGAGAGAGAGAGAGAGAGAGAAAGTGAAAAATCACCCCCCAGGAAAGATGGCCATGCTGCAATCCCTTCACCTTGGTTCCCTTCTCAGGATTTTAGGCAAAGATGCACGCGTTCCTGGTTGTGATTTCCAAGCTGCTGGGTCTAGGACTTGAATCATGGTTGGCCATGTAGGAGTCCAGTGCCTTAACCACCATGCCACCTGCTGACCCCTAAGAAAGTTTTTATAGACAGCATATACTTTTACAAAAAGTATACAGGTCATTTTATAAAAATCTGTTCTAATTGTTTCTTCTTTTTTTCTTCTTATTAATTTTTTCCAGGAGCAAGAGAGTGGGAGGAGAGAGAGACAGCACTCTAAACAGGGTTCCAATGCCTAATACAACCCCAGCTTTTGGCCAGCCCTAGTCATGGGTACATGCATGTCTGGGTACCTAATGAGGGAGACCTCTGGATTTGAACCAGAAACCTTCCCATGTGGAATTGCCTCTCAGATTGCTACATGCTACTGCAAGGCCTCCATCTGGCCTCCTGTTCTACTAATTTCTGTATTTTAATTGGTATACTTAGACCATTCAGTTTTTACCTAAACTATTAAGTAATGTATAATGTAAGTATTAACCCATTAGGGTTTAAGTCAGTCATTATTTAATTTGCTGGGTTTTGTTTCTATTTTCTTTTTCTTACATTCCTATGGGTTACCTGAACATTTTTTAGAATGCCATTCTTTAGTGTTTTTGAGTGTATCCTTTAGTGGTTGCTCTAGATCTTAAATTATATATACACAACTTACCACATTCCACTGGTGTCCTCATTTTACCAGCAGACCCTTACCTCCTTTTCAC